ACGCATGCTGTTTAGTGTTCAGGATGAGGTAGGTCTGGAAGTACGATTAATCTTCTTTTTAAACAACAGCCACAAATGTAGAATTGTGTCCCAGAAAAAGAGTGGATCAATGTATAAAATACATTATTAGGACATTTACCTTTTTTAAGGATGTGGCGTAATGATTCTTTTGAGATCTTAAAATCCTTATTAAACATTACATCATTTCATATCAAAACTGTTTTATGGAGGAGAACTGTAGCAGAAAATGAAGTTAATGTTCAGGAGCGAGAAAGCCCAAGAATGTTCTCTGGAGAGAGAGCGGCGCGATGCTGCTTTGAGTGGAGGCCCAGGACAACGAGCAGAAACGTGTGTTTGTGGAGAGAGTTACCAGAATTGAGAGAGCCAAAAAAAGAGACACAGATGAGACTGGCCGGCTGGTGTTTGCTCTCCAATTTTCGGGAATGTAATTAAATATAGTCATTAGATGCAGCCACACAAAATTATCCCCTCCCTGGTAAAATGTGATGTCTATAATGGTTGCATCTCACACAAAGAACCATATTTTGCTGAAGCTTTTTAATTGTTGGAATTGTAGCATTGAATATAACATTATGGTGTTGCCCTTTAGTGACGGATTAATACATCCTATTTTCTGTCCATTTTAAGGCCTACCCAGAAATGCATTATAACAGAACTGCATGCATTTCAAGAGGAATACTGCGCGAGTAATAGAATGATATATAAAAAGAGAAACACTATGTTGCAGCGTGACACACTTACATTGTTTTTTACACAAAATGTTTGACAACAAGGCATGATAAATATTTTGTTGTAGACAGAATTGGACAACGTTTATGAAGTTGATGCAAACGGATCTCAAAAGGAGTGGGACCTTTTTAGGGGATGTGTTATTTACTGTCTCTTGCATGAGTTTGTTTCGTGTTATAGTTTATGCCCCATCTGAGACTTGTATCTTGACATGGTTTGTGCACAGTCTTTTAGCGCCCTCACTTACCTCGGTGTGGGAACAGCCTGTAATTATAATATAGCAGTCATTACAATTATACAGTCTTCATTTCTAATTATGCAGCATTTGACACAATGATACGATGTCTGACTATAAAAAAGAAGTTCCTCATGTCTGCTGTCACAAGGTGAACATACACAAATGTTACTTAATAGCTACAAAAGTTGCTATCTAGTTCGCTGTTTTAAACTCAGGTGTCTGAATAAACCTCTTGTAACAACTCTATTCATCATTTTACCTCAGTCTTTTAGGAATACAGGAGAACACTTAAATGGGTGACAAAATATGTTTAAAATCATGTCATTATGCGTTGAGTCTAAATTAAAGGGGTTGCACATGTTCACACTCAGATCTCTCAGGTTGCTTACTCCATTATTTTTAACACCAGTCGTTTCTTGAGCGCCAGGATAACGTCTCTGCTTCTCGCCCCTCCCCAAACCTTCTTTTTCTTCTTTCCCTCCCATCCCTTTTCCTTTCATGCCTCAAACTCCCCTCTCTCTCACTCCATCCTTGCACTCCTTTATACACATTTTTCTTTATACTAAATGTTATCCAACTTAATATCTTCCAAAAAATGCATTCCGTTAGTAAAGAACTGCTCCTGAACCTATCTTACAATCAAGTAAAACAATGTAAAATGCTCAGCATTGCAACTGTTTCTCCCATATGTCCCTCATGCAATAGGCCACCTCCAGATTTGTGTTTTCTTTTCGATGGCCCTTCAGCTCTGTCAAAGGGTTATTAGCCTTTGCCTCCCACCTGCATACTGATTTCTGCGTAAAATACCCGATGACACTTCTGCTACCTCTTAAAGTTCTGCTACCTAAACCTTTTGTCCTTTGCTGTTGTTTTTTGATGCCGCTGACCCTCCTTCTCTCAATTTTGGAAAACCACATCCATTTTTTAAACAATCAATACCGTTTCTTAAAGTCGGGATCTTAAAGTGGGGGATCATTTATTTCAGAAACACTTTTTGTTATATTCCATGGGAATGCTCTAACATCCGATAGCAATGTAATATGATGAATGCTTTGACAATAATACATTTAAAAAATGCCATCTGTGGTAGCCGTAGCGCTGTAAAAAAGCACGACCAATCATCTGGAGCCGCCCGGCTAAAATAACTGATGGCCTAACCTGCCTGTCAGCCCCTTCCATCTGGCACAAACTTATCTCATGCCCTCATTGGTCATCGTGCGCGTTTGTGTTGTGTTGGAGGAGGGCTCTGTAAGGAAAGTGGCAGACCTTTTCCGGCTGTGTATTTCAAATTCTAGCGCACTCGAGCTGGTTTTCTCCAAAATACATACCCCACATTTAAGTGATATTTTTTTAGGACCTTAAAAAGCATTATCAAAAATAAAAAACAAGTTTCTTTCTCCCTAATCAAGTTTCAATATTGTGTTTTATGTTCAAAATTTTCTCCATTACAAGCTGAACATCTGAGTAGCCGGAATCCATTTGTAATAGCTGGAATACGTGAATTATTATTGGGCTTCATGTCCGTTCTTATAATAGAGGTTTGGACTGTTATAGAAATGTAAAAAGACATTTGCCCCCAAATATGTTTCTAACTTTTCTATTTAAACTTATATGTTTCCGTGCGTGGAATGAGAAAACAGAGCAAAGGACCCTGGAAGTTGAAGGCCAGGGCAGCTCTCATGCTGTTGGTACACAGATTTGAAATGTTTTTCTTTAATCCCCGCGCTGCCACTGATTACTCCATGTTAGGTCAATAAATTAGAGGGCATGTACTCACACAAGCATCCACCCTCTTCTCACACAC